AGACAAAAGTTCATCAGTCACCATGGCCCTCAAACCCGGAGATTCCTTCCCTAACAACGTCGTCTTCCAGTCTGTAACCCCTTTGTCCGTCCCAGTTCCCCACTAACGGCTGTCAGGTACGTCCCGTGGTCCGAGGAAAAGGGCGAGATTACTGCCTGCGGCATTCCCATTCCCTACAACGCCTCTAAAGAATGGGCCGATAAGAAGGTCGTCCTCTTCTCTGTTCCTGGTTAGTCTCCATTGCCTTTCTCATTCATCGATATGTTGAAACTAACACGGCCTCACAATCCCAGGCGCTTTCACCCCCACCTGCTCCGTTAACCACGTGCCCGGATACATTCAGAACCTGCCTCAGCTGAGGGAAAAGGGTGTCCAGGTCGTCGCAGTCGTCGCATCCAATGACCCCTTTGTCATGAGCGCCTGGGGAAAGGCAAACCAGGTGAAGAACGATGATATTGTACGTATTTCTATGGAATGGTCTCCAAAGGTACTCAATTGCGATATACTAATTGCTTGCAGCTGTTCCTCTCCGACCCCGATGCCAAGTTCTCGGACAGCCTCGGCTGGGCCAGCAACGGTCGCACTGGTCGCTATGCCATTGTCATTGATCACGGCAAGGTGACTTATGCTCAGATCGAGACCGAGAAGGGTGTTGTTAAGGTGTGTGTCCTTCTCCTGTTTACAGATTCTTCGTGCTAACAGATCGGGCAGGTGTCGGGTGCTGAGGCTGTCTTGGCTCACCTCTGATGCTATGAGGAAGTTTGTTCTTCGAAGTAGGTTAGATGGGAGCCGAGCGACATTCCAGTTAGCTAGCGTTGTCTTTAATTAAACCTGCTCACGATATGCTGGGCCTAGTGCTACTGGTTAGTACCAGGCAACCAAAGGCATTATCAAGCGATTGACTTGCATCTAATAGAAAAGTGTTCCTTCTCATGGTTTGCATTCTGTAGCCTTCTATCAATAAAAGCTCATATAGTAACATACTATCTCTAAAGCACGTATTGTCTGGGACTTGAAGGTTACCAGTGCCCTGTATTTGACGGGAAAGGATACACTGGGGCCCGATAAGAACAATGGCTCTCAGGATGTGAGGCAACATGATAGCAAGACCACTTGCCCAATCTATCGGCATGAATTCGACTAATATCCGGCATAGTAAGAAAGGGCCATATTGTTAACGAAGACCCCCTTCACTTCGTCAATAGTTGTTGAAGATGAGCTCGAATTGACAAATCCAATATCCCTCTTCAGAGTCCGCCTCGGCGATTATCCACATGAATCGTCTAAAAGGCGTCCCGGTTATCGGAGCCATTCTACTATACTGCGACGCTGTGTTATTTATCCAGTGCCTTTGAACTATGTGCAACTATCGTTACTAAGGTGTCTATCCTGCCGTTTTACTCGAGGCCCCTAGCCATGCAATAACGCTGCCTGTAAGAGGTAGCAGTCCCGTGCCCATTATTGAGCAGCTATTCGTGTCTCGAAAATAGAAATAACAATGAATCAAGTGATTATAGTGCATCATGTGGTAGTGGTCTTTCAGTACGAAGGCCAGCGGCACCTTTACCTCGAGATATTTCCTAGCAGTTACTATATAATATTTAAATAATACAACATAGTTTCCCTTTTACTCCTAACGAGTAAGCTTAACTAAATTCAAGATGATTGGTTATATCGGCAGTGAACACCCTAATATTAATAATTTAAGTCCGGCTTGGGTATTATTACTCCACCAAGTATGCACATATACCCTTTTCGAGTCTAAACTCTATAGTATGGAACGTTGCACAGGGCAAAAAAATGGAAACAAACCTTGACGCCCAGGGCCACACTCCAGTGAAGCCAATTTAGTTCCGTTTCTCCTACAATGAAAGGGTATAAATATACCATTATGAAGCCCGGCATCGGCGTCTCGTTTCCTCTCTTTACCATCAACCTCCATTCAACAATCTCCCTTAACCCAAAAACAACCACACAAATAAATAACTTGACACAAAGGTTCCTCGATAGTCAAGCATGGCCAGCTTCAAAATACTCCTTAGCCTCCTTGTCATGTTCATGCTATCCATCCAAACCACTATGGCCCTTCCCGGGCACACCCAACCCACCGAGGATAACGATATGGCCGCTCAGAGCTCTCCTGCTCGGCCCGAAGCCAATCCTTTTGTACGCTAAGACATAGCCCATTCTATTCACGGCAAAACATCTACTCTGTAGGGCACTTTAGGCCATCTTACTAACTGGATCGGGGCCTCAGAAACGTGTAAGGTATTGCCATGGTATATGCAGTAAGGACAGAAAATGCACCTGTCAGAAAGGAGGGGGCTACACTTGTCCATGCGTACATCCAAAGTTGCGTTGCTCGTGCTGGGTGGTTTAGGTGAGTCTGGTACTCTCAAGCCTTTCTTTATGGAGAGAGTTGCTGATCTGAAAATGCTCTCAAAAGTTCGGCCCCGGGTCGAGATATTCGGGTTGATGGGATGGGCATATACACTTGGTCGACGTCGATGTTGACGGATGTTGACCTTTCCGTCATTTTGTTGCCCCGGTAATATCGGCAGCTTAACAGGGGTGACAGCTTAGTTTGAGAGAGATATTGTTGATTGTTAAGGACGAGTTGTGTGTGTTTGGCATTGCACTCTACATGAGTAGTGAATATTTGCGGAAGACAGTAGTAATAGGTTGGTAAGTAATGGAAACTCGTAGCACAGATGGTATTATATACACATAGGCTCTTTTTTAAAAATCAACAACAAATCAAGAAGCAAAATCACCAAACTAGCACGGCTAGTAGTCCTCAGACCCATCGCTCATGGCAATATCATCGTCATCGTCATCGTCGTCATTATCCCAATCATCGTAAACGTCTTCATCGGAGTCATCCAATTCGCCGTCAGCCATCTTATTGAACATCTCCTGCATCATGAAGCGGAAAGCCTGCTCATGAGCCTCTTCAAGATCGAACAGGACCAGCAAGGGATCCTTCGGCGTCCAATCCGCCGGGTCAACCTCCTCTCTGTCAAACAAAAACTCTGGAAGATGCGAAGCGAAGAAAGCCAGGACCAAAGATCCAACACCCATGACATACTCTGCGGAAAGCGAAATACTCGCCTCGTCACGATCCAACCGAGTGGCAAGACCGGGCATATCGCGTCTCTTAAGGAAATCAACAAGATCCACTGCGGGAGGCTCGACCTTATCACCGTCGGTGGCGCAAACCTGGATCAGTTGAATCGTCTCATCCCAATCCAGCGTGTGGCGTTCACACAGGAGCGCGAGCAAAAGGAAAGTAGGGCATTCGTTGTGATAGTTTTGGCCGATCAAAACCTTGTCGAACGAGGCTTTCTCTGCCTCCAGACGGCCGTAGAAAGGTCTCCAGAAGGTCTTGTGCCAGGGATCGGACACTTGAGACGAAGGATGTTGCTTCGCCTGCTCCATCACGTCCTCGGGAAGGTATTTTTCATATCTGGTGAAAGTCCACATATCCCACAGGTTGTCGAGCTCTTCGCCTAGCTTGGTTTTGGTCGCGAGATCAAAGGACAGCCGAGCTGGTCCGTTGTTCTCGAGCGATTTTTCATACTGCCTGACACACGTCTGGGCGGTCGCTAGCTCTTCTTTGCTAGGGGAGCCCTCGGCCAGAATGTGGCAGGCTTCCATATAGTCCAAAAGAGCCTCCTCGCTTTCCTCGGAGACCTTGAAGTGAGGATTCGCTTTCATAGAGTCCACATAGCTGATCCGTTCCTTGATTTGTTTGGTTGTGGAGGTGGAGATTTCTGTGAATGGGCGTGGGGGCGCCAAGTAGCGTAGTGGGTTCATTGTGGTATTTTGTATAATGCACGCTATTCCACAATTTAAAAGATGACGATGTCACAGAGTATATTTTACGATACTATCGCCGAGTTTGTTAACATTAAAAGCTGTATAATTAAAAAAATTTTCTGATGGAGGGGTGCTGTTTATCCACAATTGTTCTCCACTGTGGGGCTGGTAGAGTGACCTGAATGGTGTATTAGGCGGGGATCTGCATGTTACAGGGGTAGGTTCTTGCTGTTCTATACATATTGTTGCTGGGCTGACATATACAAAATGTACTATGAAGGGTTGAGAAGTCCAACTCGTATCGATACTTGGAATTTAATGCGTTTTAAGTGGATATTAATATACACTCAATTGTACCATGCGATGATGAGTACGTGAAATAAATGCTTTTCTAAAATCTATCGTAGCGTATAAATGAACAAATCAATACGTTTAAATATCAATAGGACATATAAACATAGCTTTGAAAATGAATAGCTAGCGTATGGCTGCCGATAGCGTCTGTGACACTTTAAGAGGAAGTCTATGTGCGATCATTTCCCAGAGACTATTGGATATCATAGATGCGTCTAATTGGGACTCTCGAGTGGCTCATCCAAGGTTGGGGGGATTAAGTTGGGCCCTGTATAGGAGAGCACGACGGTAAAAGGGAGATAAAGCTCTCAGAAAACCCAACCTCAGCAACAATCAAGTTTGCTTTGCCAGTTTTAACCCCAACGTGATATCTTAGTCAACTGGGGGCATCCCGGACGGGCCAGACTAGTAAGGAACGTAGCCTACATAACCCACCTAGTCCACGGTACATTATCGTTGGTGGAGCATGCCCCCAGTTACGATTGAATATAAAGCAACATTTGAAACTTACTAGATTGATTTAAATTTATGGGGTTGACGCTCTGGTGTATCTTTTCTAGACATGTCTTCCCTTGCGGACTTTTTCAATGGCCCAGATATACTCTTCCGAGATGGACGTTGTCTTATGAAATTTTGAAGTTGAGATAATAGAGTAATTGGATTTGTAAATGTCCACCTTTGGACAGCTTTATTGAGATGGGTTTATATGTTGATGGTTGAGAATAGGTTAAAAATTAAGCACACCCATCGACGTCATTAGAGTTATGCACATGACGGGTACACATTTCTGTATAGTGGCAATTAAATTCAGCTTGATTACTAACCATGCCCGGTTAGCTCAGTCGGAAGAGCGTGAGACTTTTAGGTTATCAATAGAGAAGCCTGCTATCTCAATGTCAGGGGTTCGAGCCCCCTATCGGGCGTTTTTTTGCTTCTCCTTCCAACGAATTTCATTGTATGAATACTCTCCTGGTTCTTTTATTTCTCTCGCTAGTCCAAGCCTCTCTCTCATCATCAAGGATCTATGCCTGTGGTGTTTCTGGAGCCAATATACATACGTTGTTCCCGCGAGACTGAAGACGTAATTTTTTTAATGATTCCAACCTTCTCATCATGCCTTGACCTTATTGTTCAATATTGGTCAATGGTCCATTCTAGTCGTCCAGGCGTATACCAATTGAAGACGCTCCACAGGGTCCATTGTTTGGGGTTGCCCTTGTGTGTCAAGTACATATCTTTGTAGTTGACGTATCTTGTTCCCGTCGATGCACATTTGCACGAAAACTAGATATATGGTCAGTCTTACTCTTTGCTGTCAGAGTGGGTGTTGCTTTTTCAGCACTAGTAACGTCGATATTACTGCTAGTTGTCCATGTGGGAAACTTTACGAAAGCCTATGCAGTGTATATCAGCAGAAATGCAACAGTTGTCAAATGACTTAATCCCAATAAAATAAAATATAATTTCATTGAGCACTCACTATTCGCTGCTTCCGCTTGCTAGACCCACTCTTCTGACTGATTATTCATAAACTCTGAGCTTGCCGTACAAACTGAGTATATAAACAGGGGACCAACCCTCTGGTAGCCGTGTATAGACTGCCGCCACTAACCAATGCCCGGTTAGCTTAGTTGGAAGAGCGTGAGACTTTTAGATTGTCTATCCAGACCTCTTGTTATCTCAAGGTCGCGGGTTCGAGCCCCGCATTGGGCGTGCTGTTTTTTTGTTGCTGCAGTATAGGACTCTCTTGAGTTATCAAGAGTGGTAGGTTAAGTGTCCTACAAGAACTTTAGGATATTGTTGACTACTAACATTTATTAGAACCTCAAACATATCTGTTCTTGGTTTTTATAATCCTCCCAAAGATATATGCAGGGGTTTAGACGAGAGATAATGTAACTAGACGGGGATTCGATATTTTGAGTGCCATCGTTAATGATTATAAGGAGAATCTCGAAGCCCATATGAGCACAGTAGGGGATGGCGAAGATCACGGTGAAGAAGGCAATGTCCATTCACTCCCTCTGGATCGACGATTAACTCCACCTTGATGTGTCTATTCTGTTACTATAATCCTTGCGCATATTGCCTTTTTTCTATGTGTAAGACAGAAGCATTCTATAGCACTCTAATGTTGTCAGTATTAACCTTCTGTATAACCATTCCTATATAATGAGACTGATTTAGCCTTTCCACGCAAGCTAAGGCTGTACACTATAGTATAAGAAGGGGTGTTGTTTCTAGGTTCACCCTTTCTGTATGACATACATGAAAGTGTCATTTTATATTGCCATACTTGAATTGAAACCCATTCGACCAGATACACAGACTTGATATGATCAACGGTCCCCAAATGACCTGAGCTAGCCTTCTTCTGCCTCTTCCTTTGTTTCAGCAGCCTTGATATTCGGATCCGCGGCTCTTTTCGAGTAGAGGAAAGCCTTGAATGCCTTGTTTAGCCGTTTGTTCTTTTCCGCACGTTCAATGAGGCCATCTGTGAGTTGGATGGTGGGTTTGTGTTCGATAAATTCTCTGATGTTTTGCGCAGAACCATTGTCAAACAGTATCTCAGAGAGTATTCCAGTAGCTGGGACTGATATGTCTCGTCCAGAACATAGACTGGTCAACTCATCAAGCTCCCTGTGAAGCCCATCACAATACTTTTGGCCCAAGCCACCATCTTTATATCGGGGTGGAAGGAACTCTAGTAGGATCGGTGAGATATCAAAACTTCCACACTGCAGAAGGAAATTTGAAAGCATCGTTTTCTGCTTAAAAGAGCACTTATCATTTCTCCAAAGCGCATTCCAAGCTTTCTCCGTCATAGGTACCCCTGAACCCAACTGATTGATGAATCTCAGGATGTTTCTCGGATCGCTGTAGCCAAATTGTATCTCTGAGAGTATTTTGGTAGCGGGAGTTGATAGGCTTTGTTCACCAAATAGATTGCTCAACTCATCACAGTCCTTATGGTCGAAGCCATGTGCATCTTGGAGTGGAAGGAACTCTAGCAGGGTTTGTGAAATATCGAATTCTCCATATTTCAGAAGAGCCCTAGCAGCTCTCGCAATACGCTTAAATTCGCACCCATTATTTTGCCAAATCGCTACCCAAACCCTTTGAAGATTCCAACTTGACTCCCCTTTCAGTAACAAATCCAAGAGTCGAGATTGATCATTCAGAAAAGCGACTTCCAAAACCTTCTCTGTAACGGGTACTGTTGATCCCAATCGATCGATCAACATTTTGAGGGCCTCATCATCCACCTGCACTTCATCCAGAGCCTTTAGTATAACCTCTTCAGTAACTGTCATATCATTTATTGGTAATTCCAACAGCTTTTCCATCGCATAGCGCCTGTGAAATGCCAAAATCTGAGCATTCTGAATCCCCACTGCATCCACAAGGCTTTCATCAATTTCAAGTAGCCTTGCATCAAGCAGTTCTATCAGTTTCTGTAAGCTCACGATATCTTGCTCCAGAAGCTTCCCTATCATTTGGCAATACTTTATGTGGCGGCCTCCTCGATGTAGCCTGCATGTCAACAATGCCTCAGGCCGCTCTCCAGTTGCCTTGAAGACATGATCTGACACCGGAGCATCTAGAAATTTTTCAAAAAGGAACTCTAATGCTTTACAGTCCACGCAAAGTATTTCTTTTGCTCTTGCTGCTGATACCAATGCTTCCTCTGTTATCGACAGATTTTTATGAAGCTCAAGCAAATACTCCAAGGCAGATTTCCGCCCCAGTGAATTACCAGCTGCCGATGATAAAATCTGCTCGTTGATTGAAATTTCCGAGTCCGCATTATTGAGGACCATTTCCATCATCTGTTGTGGGCAGTACCAGTTAGAAGCAGCTGCCATCATTGTTGCCTCTGAAAGATCAAAAACGACCAGTCCTGCCTCTCGTTTGCCCAAAAGCATTCGGAGAAGGGAAGGGTCACCAGCATGCTTGGCCACTTTTTGGACTATATCATTTTGAAGAAAATAGCCTTGATGGAATTCCATCAGTAAGCTTTCCATGCACTCCAAGCCATTCCGACTGGATATGATATGCTGCAAAACATTCGGGGAGGAGAATGCGATGTCTGGCACTCTTTTGCATAGGAGAGTCAAAACTGCAATACCAGGCCTATCGAGAGTAGCTTCTAATAGCTCCTCTGATACTTGAATTTTATCACCAGAGACCTGTAAAAGCAATTCCACCACCTCTACTGATGCCATCATCATAAAATGTCTGATTATTCTTTGATTTAGGTGAACCCTAGCACCAATATTTTGAAGAATCGCGGTTGCTGTGCTAGGGTTATACCCGGAATATAAAGATATACTTATCATTAGATTTTCAGTAATTTGAATGTCGTTCCATCTCCCATCGCAAAGCATTCGCATCATTTCTTCACCACATCTTCTATTCTTTAACAATGCTTCAAGAACTCTCTCGGTAACAGGAGTCTCCAGCCTGACTTGTTTATCCAAAAGAAGACATAGGAGCTGGTGGCCTGACGTGTCGTTTCCTGCCACGGCTTCAGCAAAATCTTCATTCAAAAGAATACATCCATTTGCAGGGTTGTCATAGAAGACCTCAATCTCAGTGCCCAAAAGAATATTCAGAATGGCATCAATTGCTTTATGTGAAGCTGTATTGAGATCAATAGACCTTGCAATATCCGAAGCAATTTCTACTGAAACGTCAATGCTCCCCAGCAGCTGCTTTACGATAGTTAGGTGACCATTTGCAGCAGCTATTTGACAGGCGCTTATTCTCTTTCCGACGAATTCGTAATATGTTGCACAAGGGTTAGCTCCTTGTGACAAGAGTCTTTCAACAACAACCTGCATTCCCATTTCACAGGCCAAGTAGATGGGCGGCTCAATACCGTTTTCGTCTATATACCAGAAACTCAACGAAAAGTTTTCCAGAGCCACACGCCGCCAGTTTAAGTAGATCATGCGCTCTTCAAACAGGCGGTATATCTTTGCCTCTAGATGCTTTTTCTCTAGGTCTGGGAATTTGGTACCAGATTCAGCGAGCTCTGAAAAATGGCCGGCCCAATAGTGTGCGGCATATTTTAATAACGACAGACTATGTGCAGGTTCTTTAGTCAGAGCCTCCGTTTGGCGAAGCAGATTGTCAAGGGCATGATTAGCTATGTCGATATGGCCACCAATTGTAGTTAACTGAAACCAATCGATAGGATCTGAGACAACCAAAAACTCCTTTACTGAAAAATGAGCGAGTTTGATGGTGCCACTTGATGGACTGACCGTCACCAAATAGGTAGTACAAGTTTCAACAACGCTCTCAGGATGTGAAAAGCCCACTACTGCTGCAACTGCCTCCAATTCCAGTGGCACAAGAGAGAAACTGAGCCATGTAAGTATCGACCGCGCGTCCTTCTGTTCGTCTTCGGGAACCTCTTCCAGGATTCTGCGATATGTTTCTTCCAGGGATTTTGGAATTGTTTCAAGGGATTCTGTAATTTTATCCTTTTTTTTGCACTTTTCAAGCCGTTTGATTTGTAGGTCAGCCCAGCGAAAACGTCTGGAAGTGGGAGAATGTTAACAAAATATGCTATTGAGAAAGAACAAGAGCATGATAGTACCTTGGTTCCTCTGTATCCAATAACTTTGCCAAAATTTGATCATTGACTCCCTTTTCCTTTTTCCATCTGCTTAGTTTCCCATAGTCAAGTGCATTGCGGACGAAAGCCTCAACATCGTCGTTCATTCGATCTTCAAGATCTATCTTCATACTGTCGTCTAGGTGGTAGCGAATATTTTCTTCATATCGGCTTGTTGCCAGAAGATGGACTTTTTTTCCGTGGTCGTCAATGAGACCCTTCAGAACCTGAAACAATAAATTCCTCTCATAAACCTCATTATCCGGGCATTCATCGAGTGCGTCAAAAATAAGAAAT